CACGGTGAGGACCTGAGCACGGGGGAGCGGATGGTCTGGTCGGAGGAGAGATAGGGAGAGTTGTATGAGTGGAACCGTTTGTCACAGTAGCCATGTTCTGTTCTTGAACCCGTGAATTTTCCGGTGAAGTCAAAGAGAACGGAAAAGTGTGTTCATCAAACTGAACATGTCGTGAGGTGTAGAGGCGTCCAGTAGGTAGATGAAGACAATAATAGGCACTCTGAGTGTTTGAGTAGCCTAAGAAAACACAGCGAAGCGAGCGATCCTCTAATTTGTGGCGATTATAGGGTCGTAACCAGGGATAACACGAACAACTGAACACGCGAAGCTTGTCATAGTTGGGAGGCGTACCAAACATCTTCTGATACGGAGACTGCAAATTAAGGAGAGGCGTTGGAAGCCGATTAATAAGATAAACTGCAACTGCAAAAGCATAGGGCCAATACGTCTTTGGAACGGAGGCGCGAGACATTAATGTAAGACCCATCTCAACGATATGTCGATGCTTCCTTTCAGAGATCCCATTGTGTTCAGGAGTGTGAGGCGGGGATGTGAGATGCGTGATTCCATTCTTCGAAAGATAATCCCGTAAAGCTATATACTCGCCCCCATTATCTGAATAAAGTGTACCGATTTTTGCTTGAAAACGATTCTCAACGAGACTCTTGAAAACTATGAACGTATCTTTGACATTTGATTTCTGTTTCAAAGGATATAACCAAGCATACCGAGTGAAATGATCAACAAATAAAAGATAGTAGCGGAAATTATCAAGAGAGATTATAGGTGAGCTCCACACATCGGAATAGATATATTCAAGAGGACGAGAAGAGATGATTGTTGAATGTGAAAAAGGAACTTTGTGACTCTTATTAATCAAGCAATCCGAACAAGACAAAAGCTTTTGAGAAGGATTTAAAACAGGAAGTGAAAAATTTGAAATGATAGTGTTTAAAATTGCAGATGATGGGTGGCCTAAACGAGAGTGCCAATCGGAATTAGTAGCCTTAGAACATGGAGACGCAAGTAGAGCCACTGCTTGAGTCGATGTAATATGCCACTCATACAACTCATCCTTAGTTTGTCCTCGGAGTAATGGGACCCCCGTGCTGAGATCCTTCACCTGAAACGATGCAGGAAAGAATTCCACAGAGACACGATTAGCATTGCATAAGCGATACACCGAAATGAGATTCTTGTGTATGTTAGGTACATATAAAACTTTTTGTAGATTTAAAGGACGAGAGTTTGTGGATAGAGAAGTGGAACCAGTATGTGTAATTGGGATGGTGGATCCATCTGCAATCATCACGTCATCGGTGCCATTGTAGGGCTGGTGGAGTGCGAGGTTGTTCAAGTCCGACGTAATGTGATGGGTGGCGCCACTGTCAAGAAGCCAATTGTTGGCAGAGTATGGAGAACCAACTGCAAGATTCGCTCGGGGCTGCCAGGGAGTAAACGGAGACGATTGCGTCTGATTTGACGTGGATGAAAACTGCTGGAGCTGAGAACAACGCTTGGCACTATGCCCTTGGACTCCACAGATTTGGCAGCGACCCAAATATGGTTTGGGTTGACGGTTGTCAGAGCGGTACGTAGAGGAGGATTGCTGCCATGGCTGGGATCGATTGTTATTGTTGCGGGAATTGTCAAAACGGGTCTGCGAATTGCGATTGTTGTTGTTGTTGTTGTTGCGGTGGGACACGACATTGGCAGAAACCGGAGCTACGACCTCAGAGTTTAAGGCAAGTAATTTGCCTTCATGATTTATCAGCCTCTCATGAATCTCAGTGAGAGATGGAGGAGTATCTTTTGCTGCAATCTGATCTATCACCGGCTTGTACTCTTCTGGTAAGTTCTCCAAGACACGCTCCACTTGCTCTTCATGTTCCATTGATTTTCCAAGAAGCGCAAGTTGATCGAACCTGGTGATGAATCCTTGCATATATTCATCAATCGATTTGGTACCTTTCCTCCATTGCTTCAATTGTGTTCGGAGTTGAGAGACGTGACCATAGCTTGGGTTTGCATAGGTGTTGCGGAGAGTTTCCCAGATTTGGGCAGCAGTGGTGGCACGAGAGACCACGGGTTGAACAGACATGGATATAGCTCCGAGAACGGCACTATAGATTAGCTTGTCCTGTCTTCTCCAATACGTGTAGTCGGGATTGACAGTGACGACTTCATTGGTGGTGATGGTCGGAGCAGGCATGGTGTTGGATCCATTAAGAAATCCGGCTAACTCATAGCCATCAACGAGAGCGTGGATCTGTCGACTCCACATTAGGTAGTTGGTGTTCGTCAACTTGGTAACATTGCTCATGTTGACATTGAAAAGGGTCTTGTTGTTGAGAACGATTTCTACATTGGGAGCAGCCATTGATTTTGAGAGAAAAGAATCGAGTTTGGTATGTAAAAGAGAGAAAAGAAAATTTTGTAGGTTTATGGATCAAAGCTCTGATACCATATAGATGTTTGTAGAATTGATATTTATTATATTCAGAGACAATGAGTATTTATACAAGGAGTAACAGCTAGGATATACAAAGAGAATTAAAGACAATATATACAACTTAACATAATTGTCTCCATGATGTGCGTAATCACGAGTTGACCGAATCAATCATGATATGATTGATATCCTTAATATAAAGACCATTACAGCGAATGAAAGATCGACATGCATCTAGCTAGGTTTGGGTCAGGATCATGAATTGATTATGTAGCCTCAAAGGATCGTTGTTTCTCCACATTTGTTCAACAACTGTCTATGATTCTTGTTGTCGACTTTTATTTCGACGTGTAGGGCTGGGGCAACACGTCTATACGGATAACGAAGACATTGGTTACCTGGTTGGGTTAGTTTTCGCAGAGGGCCTAGCTTCTCCTTTGCCAGTTTTACTAAGAACGATGACTCGATGAGTCCATTATCACATCTTCATTATTGAAACCTTACGTTGTGTCTTAAATCTTGACGGGAAAACCAATGTTTCCACACAAGCCATTGTAGTCTTCAAATCGTATTATTTAACAAAAAATTTGTTTTGTTTATCCAAATTATGTAATACAGAGGCCAGAGCACACATCTCATGCTAATTAATTTGTCGTTTCTTAACATGTGTTCAAGATTAATGTATTACTTTTATAAAGGAATGAAAACAGTTCAAAATTTATTTACTCGATAAATTTGAGGGAAGGAATCTCTAAAGTGTGGGTACTCACTCACACAATATAATTTTTGGACGTTATGATTTAAGATTCGATTTAACCAAATGGCATATTAGTGTTTTTTTTTTTGGTAAGTAATGGCATATTAGTGTTTACTGATCTATCATGTATTTAATTTCAAAATTTTGTCGCTATTTATTTTTTATTTATGCCTTTCTTTTTTTTTTTTTTTTTTTGATAGGAGGATAGATACCCATTTTACTATTTTAGCTATATGTACAAATGCCAAATAAATAATCACAGCAACCGTTGAACCATTAACCGGTCTTGACAAATTTATATATGGACATGTTTCTGAGTAGATTGTATTGATGATGAGACTTGCATGATTTTATTTTAATCATTCCACATAACATGTGTGCATGTGATCAGCCTTTTAATACGAATCTATAAGGAACTATATAAACTCTGGCCACTATAAAAATTATTAGGAACTATAGTAGTGTTTTGTTCTTTTAATCGAATCCGTAATATGATCACTAATTAGAAATTGTTATGCGTTCTGCTAAGAAAAAGGTTACAATTATTTTGAATAATAAATTAATAATGTACGGTAAAAGCGTTACAGCAATGATTGTCATAACTTATCGGCAAGCCAATCACTTGATTTACGGAAAATTAATATAAACGTCGAGGGCCCAAAATATATCACAGGTAAATAGTGCTTCACTTTAAGTAGACAATTTTATACATTCTCACAAGTTCCAAACTTTAAACTGTTGTAAATTTGATATTCACAAATTGAAGTAGAAGTATAGTTTTCATTAAGGAATAACTAATATTGGCAACGGTCTCGTATTTGCTTGATTCGGGGTAGTGGAGCTAGACAAAATGGTTTCGAGCAGTTTTGTCAATAATGTACGAGGTTGGGCAATTGGGTGGTGATCTTGTATTCGTCGATGTGCATTCCTTTCTATCTAAATATGGTAAATCGTCGACTGGAGAGCCAAATGAAACAAGACATAATCGAAAAGTTTGAATTTGTTATCGACAAAATGCAACATGATGTCGAACTAGTTTGGCGTTGGCTTTGTGCCGAAAACATCCAACCAAATAGTGAAAGTGTATGGAGATACAAAATGAGATCATCTTTGATTTTGTCTGACTCACGGCAAAGGAAAGCATGCGAGCATCCTAACTTTTAAAATTTGTCAAGAAACTCAAAGTTAAACTGTTTTAGATATTTAGGGTCTCAAATATTTGTCTTTTTCTTTATAATAAAACAAATTTGATGAAAGACAGAATTGATCAAATCCATTTAATTTACCTGTAGCACATTTTTTTATATTAATTAATCACTATTGGCAGTAAAGCATTTGATTCTCATAAATGAGTTCTTGACTTATTGTACACCATGTTACAAGTTCAATCTTAATTAGAAAATACAATTGTTTTTTTTTTCTCAGATTACTACAAGAAATTTGTTCATTGTTAGCGCTAAAATATGCTATCTTACGTTATAGATAGCGAATTCACAAACGCTATGTTCTCGGCAGCTATGGTAGAGGACACCCATACGATAGCGTTTTCTGACATGCTATTATAGATCGTTCAATTATAGCGGTAATAGAATGCTGCAATATACTATATTATAGCACACATTTAGTGTTATTTTATATTGTATTGTAGCATATTTCTATTTGATATATATATATATATTTAATTTGATTTATATATTATTATTATATTTAAATCTTGTTTTGCAAAATAAATTTAATTGGATTTATAATATAACTTTTATTTTTTTCATAAATCATCAAAATACATAAAAGTATTACTACATTATCCATTTTTTACATAACATCATACAAAGTTTTAAACAAAATAAAGCTAACATCATAAAGATAAACTTCAATCTCATTTATATGTTTCGCCTTCCCATATCATCCCCGTCCATAATCTCTGTAAGCATGTGTACAAAAGCATCAACATATATCACAGTCTTCAATCTTGTTTCCTCAATAGTTTTTATCTTAAAATCAATGCTGCATCAAACGCCAAAAATTTAACAAACTCAGAGAGACATCTAGAAGAAAATAAAGAGATAACTCATACATATATCAGTCTCTAATTTTTTTACATGGTAAAGAGATTCAAACCCAATAGTGGTGATGAAGCTCATGATAATAATATTAAACAAAGAGGATGCTAAACTAATCCATGTATATAAACCAAATAACGAGATCACAAAACATGGTGAAATCATTAGTTGCAAATAGTTCTACCTAAAGTAAACACACCACACCATAGAAAACACAACAGTTATAAAATCATCAGAATAAAGAAAAGAAAAGAGCAAAGTATTTATATTCTTAAAAGACTACCTCTTTCGTGAGCATTCGTCCTCAACATGTCCCACCTCTTTCTTAACAGCTCCTAAAGATGAAGAAGAATTGATTTCCACTACCTGTTCTTGTATATTCTGCTCATCTATCTGTAATAACATTAAAGCAAAGGTATTTGGAGCAGCAAAGTATTAACATTATTTTCACTTGTCTTATAAACTGATCTCTGCATATCACAAAGAAAATACATAACTACAAAAGACAACCTATGTTTTTATCAAAATGTAAAACTAATTAAGATGTTAGAAATATCAAAAGCACCTGAATTATCCTTCCTTGTTCTTTATTTTGCCAACCATCAAGTCATCCACAAAAAATCCATAATATCAAACGGAGAAATTAACCAAACCAAGCACTAAAATTCAAATAGACAATGTGTAGCCAAACCTGAAGATCATCAACTTCACAGCCAACGTGGAGCAAGACCCTTATACAAGCTGCAAAATAAGAAATCAAACACAAAAGGCTAGCAGTAACAAGAAAGTACCTTCCAAAATCCTCTCCTTTAAATAATAAACTCACATTAAATCATCAGAATCTTTTGATTCACTTCTCTCCGACTAATCTCATGTTGGACTACTAGTGCATGTCTCAGGAGCTTCAGGCTTTTCAACAGGTGTAGCCGTGTAGGTGAAGACACGACTTTCTTATTTTCATTACGAGCATTCTCGTTCGCAGCTTACTTCCTATTGTTCATTTACCTACACCAAAAAGTTCAAATAAATGAAGTTACTAAATCCGAAGAGCAAATATAGACACATCATGTGTTAGAACTTAGAATTGAAGTAATCTTACATTTTTTTACGGTTCCACCACTCGAGATATTCAACAAGTCTCTCTCAAATCGTACAAGCTCCGGCTGCAACACTTTAGCAATCAAAATGATAATTTAATAGAAAGAGTTTCACACACGAGCTCCATCTCTAGATACAAAGAGTTTTCTTTTTGGATTTGAAGCTTACAGTTTACAGTTTTCTCCTAATGAAGAATACCTTTTTGGTTTTCCAATTTCCAAATTAAAGAAAGCTAAAATCCCTAATTGAGATGGCTTACCATTTTGTGAGGATGAAGAAGGAGAAGAAGAAGAGTCATTGAATCTCTACTTATCGAAGTATATTAATCCGTCCATCACCACCATTACCATGTCCTCTCTCTCTCTCTACTTCCCGATCTAAAACTCTTCGAATCATCCCTTTCTCTACTTGAATTCATCTTCTCTGTTCCCAAAGCGATTCTCCTCCACGGTAGATTGAAACTTCATCGTGAGAAATAGATCGGGATTGATAGGTGGAGATGTGGGGTTTCGGTTGCGTCTATTTAATTTGGTGGTGGCGGCAGCGGCGGAAGCCATTGGAGGGGAGTTAGGGTTTGGCTGAGTTGATTCGAGCCTAAGAGTTTTTTTATTTTATTTTTCTAGTCTCTGAGATAATTTGTTTAGGTCTTTGAGAAAAGAAGAAAAACTAAAGTGTTCGCGGCTATCTAAATTTTTTGGCTAAGTATTGACGGAATACGTGATTTTAGCTTCCTGCTTACTGATTTTATATTATAGCGTTTATTAAATGTTATTGATAGAAATTATTCAAAATCAAAATATCAAATCAATCATTCATAGCAATTAGTGAAACCGTGCTATCGTGAACTGCTATCAATGCTCACTTTTTTTGTAGTGGATTGTGAATATAAACTTTTGGAATGTTTCATTGCCTTTGAGGCTGAGCCATCTATTATATATGAATCCCAAATGTGATATGATCCATCATTAAGTTTATATATAAATCAAAAATTAAAAATATGTGTTATTTAATAATTTTAGTTGTAGTTTATAACCAATGAAATTTTAACACAACATTACTTTAGTGTTATTAGTGATTTTTTTCCCGAAGATTAGTCTACTGTCTACGTGAAGACACCTCCAACCAGCAACATGGATCCGCTTACTAGGACTGCTAAGGCTAACAATGAGATATATATATACACTTGAGCCTTATTAACCCAAAAAAAAAAAAAAAAAAATTGATGCACTTTGAGCCAAAACCATAAGCATGGAAGACATCGTGTCTATGTAACTATTATTTCTTCATTTTATTTTATTTTTTTAACATAATTTTTAATTATTTAATCCAGACACAAGTAAATTAAACTTTTTGTGACTCATGCTATTTTACGTACCAAACATTTGAAGTCCTTCTTCTCACTGTCTCCCTCTTTCTAATCTTATTGAAACGACTAGTTAAAGTTAAACCATGGATATCGCTCTTTTGCCTAACTTACACTGACCTTCCCATTTTTGGTCTCCTGTTTTGCAATTTTTTTTTCTAATTCGCTGGTTATAACTACTAACTTAAACGTCGAAAAATCTTCATAAGACCATCCCCATTTTTGTCCCACATTACATGACCGTGTTTCTGTTTCATGATATGCTTATCCGTCTAGCATAGTAGGCATTCTCGCATATTCGTATTGCCAATCAACCTCATAGATACTCCCATGAGTGCGTCCTCGCGGAATAGTTCCCAATCCAAATGCCTAATAATTGTTTCCCGATCGACTATTGAAGAACGAAGTTTTGATTTCTTCTCAAAGGTCGGATTGCTCGCATGTGGAACGCCGAAAAGCAGTAAATCCGACGTTCTTCCATGAAAATTTCTCATTCTGGACCAATCTTCCGACGAGATTAATTTTTATAGTTATTGTTCACGTTTTGAGTATATCGTGACATCTTATATAGTCCTCAAAACGGTTAAATTGAATTTTTTTTTTCTTGATAACACGTGAAAATTATTAATTTTTTTTTTACGTGAAATTACTTCTTAAATGGAATAATTATGGCAAAGCTACTATTTTCAACCAAAACAAATCATAAGACTTTTCTTTCTTTGACAAAGAAAACGCCTTATATTTCAAATTCAGAATCAAACGAGCACTAAGTACCCTCTACTCGTCGAGTAAACTAATAACATGTGTATATTGTTGTTTAATGTTTGTGAGAAATAGTGATACTATATGTATAAATGTATATATGTTTCTGTGTAATGTGTATGTACAAAGAGTAACGTTGAATAATAATGGAGAGGATGGGAATGTCGTACTTATCATGTGCGCTTCTGTGATATGATTCCACATGCATTATGACCCTCCAAAACAAAACAACATAATATAAAGAGGAAAAAAATAAAACCTGCACTTTGGATTCATGTTCATATTCTCCTTTTTCTCTGCTTCTCTGTAAAAGTTTTCCCATTATTGAACAACTTAGAAAACAGATGGTAAAGGCTACAAATTTCATCGGAAAAAATTAAATTACACATGTGGACAAATAAATAAGTTTCTTTGACTGAATTCTAATTAAAAAATTTTCTTTCTAACTAGTTGAATACTTTAAATTCATGATACGGTTATTAAGTATGAACCACCTTTTTCTATCATATTCTCTCAAAATATTAGACGACAAATTAAGAACAAAATATTAATCTCCCTTGGTATATATAGACTAACCATAGTAATATTTACATACACATGTCGAATTGAATACATAGCAACTTTGAAACTGTAATACACTATGGTGATAAAATTATACATGCAATAAAACTTATCAAGAGTGTTGATAAATTTATAAGTTTTAAGTCCCATGTTTACGATCCAATATGGTGGTTACAACAAATTGCTTCATTATTAGTAATTTTAACGATTAGAAACCGAGAGTAAAAGGGATGCCGGTTGAATTAAGCCATGTGCTACCATCGATAAATGGACCGACGGTGAATTGGGTTGCCTCCGTTTCGTTTTCGATGCGTCGAAAACCGGGCCATGTGACCCGATTTGTCATGTTTGCCCCAGGCCCTTCATTCATATACTCTCCATAATATAAGGTTTCAAGTGCAAAATCTTTTTTCCACTCCAACCATCCAGCAGGATGTATGAGATCATCAATAAATGATTTTATGATAACCGTCCTAGAATATTTTCTCCATGGTCGACCTAAGTACGCCGTGAAATTTTCTTTCACAGGGATCAAATCAGGTGCGGCCAAGATTCTACTATGAATGATAGATATACCGGTGGGCTGGTCTGACTGATTGCGGCTTTGAGCGGTGAATGCAATTTTATGTTCAGGATTTGGTTTACGAGCATAAAGACTACAATTCTGGAACACAACAGCCGCGTTGCCGAATATGAAATCGATAGTACCATATATATCGCATTCTCGATAGAATTGTTTGGCTGAATGAACATAAAGGGTGTCTTGGTAACCATCGAACTCACAACGATAAAAGGCAGAGTGATCAGAGCCGCTTCGCAATGCCACGGCTTGTTCTTTGGCCAGTCCAGCAAAATTCACGAAGGATATGTCCTTAGCTATGAAACCTTTACCTTTCACGCCTGCATAAACAATTATGTCTACTTAATACTTCTTTATTATAACAAAGATGGGAAGATATAAAAAGAAAAAAAAAGATGGGAAGATATGAAAACAGAGGAACTGTATGAATTTTATTTTATTTTGTATGAATTTATTTGTTGCGGAGAGGAGAGATATCTTTGTGTTGGATTTTATTTGGGCTCAAGGTGTAATGAGATCTCAGCCCATCTTTGTTAAAAAGTACAGTAATTTAATAGAAGAAGAGACTAACCAACGGTAGCAGTTTGAAATGTTGACCATCCATCAATGCGGCTGCGGTTTGCTTTTATGACTGTTTTTCCGATACCATCTCCGATAAACATTATCATTGTCTTCTTCTTCGGTAATTCGACGTTCTCAAAATATTCCCCACCTTTTATATAGATAATAAATCTACCCCACAAAATTTGGAGGAGTTATGTTATAAATAATGTTATTGGACATACGTATACGGAATCGCGAAAGTATTTTTACGTTACATATGTACCAATTAAATTTATAAGGACTCAGATTGATAATATTGCGGAATTTCTATATCACATATACCAAATTAGTAACCATCTTTATAATTAATTTCTTTCAAATGTTGACGTTTATACATTGAATTAAGATTTATGTACCGTACGTACCTAGTATCACTCTTGTTGGGAGCGGCAGAGACGGCGGCATTAATGGTTGTGAAGTTTCCGGTACCATCAATCGCCACTGAGAGATTAAAATTGGTGATCTCTTGTACTGGAGCCTCAAGGAGTCTCTTGTCATTCTTTGAGACCCAACTCGGGTACTCAACGTCAACTTCAGATGATTCTAGGGTAGAGTTCTTCCCTGAGATCATCTGAAGCATATCGAGGGAGTTGCTAAGGTCGTTAGAGATGTCTAAGATGCTCTCCTTCAAGTTCTCAGGCAATTCATACATCATATCATTATTATTCTCATTGTCGCTTGTCGAGAAACCATCAAGACACGTGTCTTGGTCTGTCATGGCGTTGCTGAGCAACAAACTGACGTCGTTGAACTCAAAAGAGGAAGATCGGAGTTTGGAGATTGCGGTTTTGAGGTCGGAGATGGTGTCATCGAGTAGCCCGAGACAGTCTTCGAATGCGCAACGTTCACAGTGGGTTAGGTTTGGACCAAGACGGGTTTGGAGGTCAGAGAAGTTGGATGAAGCGAGATTAACCTTTAAGATGGTTAGGTTTAAGTCGGCGATTATGAGCTCAGGGATGGTTTTGGTTTCGGTTAAACGATGCGTTTTGTGAGTGGTGTAGGATGGTGAATGAGATGAAACAACGGTGGATAAGAAGATTATGAAAAAGATTAATGGCAGTAATTTGAAAATTATGTGAATTGGGCTTTCTCTATTTGGATTATTCATCTTTTTCTGTAAGTTTGTAGTGAAATATACAAATATTTGAAAAAGTACTGAAAGGTGGTTTTATATAAAGTATAAACTCCCAAAGGTAAACTTGGGAGAAGAATACTGTATGATGTTAGTCAAACTAAAATCCTTTAAATTATGGTAATTGTTTCAACTTATTAACTAATTTACTCACATACATGTAATAACATTTGAGTAATGGAAAGTCTTTATTCAAATTGAATATATTATTGTAATAAATTCATTAAATTACATCAATAGTTTTCCTATCTACGTAAAAATGCATAGACCACACATTAGAAAAAACAAAAATGCATAGACCACAAAATTCTCCGAATACATATACATACACTACAGTAGCTTCAATAAAAAAAATATTAGCAACTCACAAACTATTTAATTTTTAACCCAGAGATATACATGAAATGTATCATTAGATTTATTACACTTACCTTGATCTAATGTTTGGGCTTCGAAGTTTCCCCTGCTTTGCTCATAGCTTCAGCTTGAATCCCTGCCAAGTGTTTTTGATGCCATAGGCAAAGTAAAAAAATATATATAATTCAATGTATAAAAATTGATTTTCTAACAACTATATATCACAAAAAATGTAGTTCAATACTTAAGTAACAAAACTTAACCCGAATAATTTATAAATAAATTGTTGACAACACAAATTAAATCATATATAAACTAGTTGTGACTGAAATTTGGAGTCTAAAAATGTATAAAGAAATGGTTAAAACTGACTAAAAATGTATAAATAAATGGTTAAAACTGAATAAAAATGGTTAAAACAACAAGTGCGTGGACAATAAAAACCATAGAATAATAATCTTTGAATAATTGATGGGCAATTAATGTCAAGACAAATAAAGTTAACATGCATCAATAAGTGTAAGTAAAAAACATAAAGTAAAGATGAGTTATGATATGACTAAAAATATGCTCCTCTAGATTTGAAGTAAAATTTAGTGGCGTAGGCGGTGGCTTCTTTTTTTTATCAAACAGGCACGGCTCTGATCCCTTGGACAGAAAACCATCCCGGAGATTGTAACATAAGATGTTTAAGCATGTTGATACAGTTAACCATTTGCAACCCTAACATATCAAAGAATGAAGATACTTAAGACTCTGATTTGCCTTATTGACATTGTCTTATACATTTATACTATTTTATCAAGGAAACAAAACGAGTAAGAAAGCACTAGCTAGAGCTGAGCATACCACCTTTTATTACTCTTGTGTTATCTTTTAAGTAAAAACAAAGTTCAATTTATATGAGCTCGTTTGCAAAACTTTAAAAATTAACTTGTTTTGTAATTTCATAACCGTCTATGAAAGATATTTATTTTATTGATGAAAAAGGAAACCACACTAAAATGTTTTTTTTTTTATTGAGGCACTTAAGATGTTATAAGAGGAAGAACATATATGTGTGCGTTCTGCAAGTAATGAGCCGTGATAAAAATGTCTAAAAGACTTGATCCTGTGTTTACAATCCTATGCGCAAAGTAGTAACAAAATTTTGCTCATACAAGTTTATCAAAATTTTAAAGATTAGATCAGAGATCAATAGTAAAAGGAATTCCGGTAGAGTTAAGCCATTTGTTACCTTCGATAAATGGACCAACAGAGAATTGAGTTGCTTCCTCTGCGGTTTCGATACGCTTAAAACCAGGCCATTGGACCCTGTTTGTCATGTTCGACCCGGGACCTTCATTCATGTACTCTCCATAATATAAAGTTTCAAGGGCAAAATCATCTTTCCACTTCAACCATCCGGCAGGATCCACCAGATCGCCAATAAACGATTTCATGATAACCGTCCTAGAATATAGTTGCCACGGACGACCTAAATATGCTTTAAAGTTGGCTTGCACAGGGATCAAGTCTGGTGCGGCCAAAATCTTGCTACTGATTATAGAAATACCCGTGGGTTGACTTGAGTTTTCCCGGCCTTGAGCGGTATATATGATTTTTTGGTTAGGATTTGGTCTACGAGCATAGAGACTACAATTCTGGAACACAACCGATGCATCACCAAATATGAAATCGACCGTGCCATATATATCACACTCTCGATAAAACTGTTTGTGTGAATGGACATAAAGAGTGTCTTGGAAGCTTTCAAAGCTGCATCGGTAGAAAGCAGAGAGGTCAGAGCTGCTTCGTAATGCCACAGCCTGGTGACTAGCCAGTCCGGCATAATTCACGAACGACAAGTCCTTAGCTATGAAGCCACTACCTCTCACGCCTGCACATCATTTACAAAAAAAGACTAGCTAATTCAGTGAATCACGATAAACATTTTATATAATCGTTAGTCGTTAGTGTAAATAGCCTATGTTATATGACTGATACTATTTAATATTAGCTGCAAAAATGTTTAGCATTATAAAGGGACTACAAGGAAATTTAAGAAGAAGACTTACCAACGGTCGCAGAGTGAAATGCTGTCCATCCATCTGCATAGCTGCGGTTAGCTTTTATTACTGTCCGTCCGATTCCATCCCCAATAAACATTATCATTGTCTTTTCCCTCGGTATTTCAATGTTTTCAAAATATTCCCCACATTTTATATATATCACAAACCTACCATAAAAAAAGAATCAATATAGACTAACTGAGACATGAAATCTATATTCAAAGGTGATAAAGAAAGACATAGTTATGTATTTTAAGCTAAAATAAAACATATATGAGTATTGACGACCAAAAGAAAAATATCTACACGTATTTCACTCATTAGTGTTAGGTGCCAATTACAAAAGGAAAAAGATCATGAAAATATAAAATGTATTCTTAAAACATATTTTTAGAATTTTATCTGAATGATTTAAAATTAGAGAAAATTAGAAATAAAGGATGTTTTAATGGATAAATGTCCATATATACTTTTATATAAAAAGTTTGGTGAAATAGGTTTTTTAAAAATCAAAACCCAAGTTTACCCTCATATTTTCGAAAATATAATTAACAAAATTTTAAAAAAATTATTTCCTAGTTTATTTACATAATTCAGATACCCTCATTCTTTCGCCAGATTGACCTGTCTTCACTAATTTGGGTATAACTCTTGAATGCACCGTTAGATGTTCTTCAAACCACTTGGAAAATCAAGCCAACATCTTCATCTTGCTTGTGTTAAAAATTAAGAAAGATCTAACGGTGTGAAGTATTCCATCTGAGACTAAACGTATGAAACTTCTAAGCGAAACTGCATCTCCAAAAGTGTGTTTATAACCCAAAACAGCTCGTTTTCCTCCAAAGCAACCTAAAACCTGTAAAGACTCGATAAAAGACTAAAATACTCTAAAAACGCACTTTGACTCTATAAAACATATGATGTAGGAAAGAAAACAAAGACTCAAAACCGATAAAAACACAACATATCAACTTCCCTCATCGATAAACAATACACTAAATGAAAATTCCTACTTGGTAGGTTGAGACTATGGTTCTTACATTTCTTTTTAAATTATGTTAAATTGGTCTTGGAACTTATGCTGTATATACTTAATTTAGTGATAAGTCAATCCGAAACTCAAAGCAAAACTACGAACATAAGAGTAGTAGGGATTCCAATTATGAGAACAAAAATTCAAACATAGAGTACTAGGAAATTCACATCTGAAATAAAAAATGCGAAAATAATCATGAAATGAGAAAGAAGTTCAAAATCCATATAGTGGTAACTAGAAACGTTCAATGAGAGCAGTTGCAACATAATCCTGAAAAAAGATAAAGAAAACAATTATCAAAACAAAATATAAAAGTAGGGAATCTATACTTAAGTTTTAAACTAGTAGTCAGATCACGATCACAAACCTTATATTGCTACATCACATGTTACTCGATTATGACCTTCTTTACCACAACGGCCGCACTTATGCTTTTTTGATAATTGTGACTGTTGTGATGCTTTTATCTTGTCTTCAGCTGATTTATATCTTCGTTTTCTTCGTCTACCAGGTTGTCTTCTTGTTTCAGGTGGTAAAACTTTTGCAGATTCAACAACCTCTGGGACGTGCCATTCATCTTCAGGAACACCTATTGGATTAATAGTTTCCTCATATAATGATCTCCAAGTGGCAGTTGTATACACATCATCAGCATATGGGTATATACCAAATGACAAAACGTGGCACAGAACGGGGAAAAACAACGACAAATCTACCAAATTAGTCTAACCTTTCAACGTGGACTTAAAAGGAAGAGGTGAAAGAAGAAGACTTTGACGATTAGGGCTAAAAAACGATTTCACCCTCTAGATTTTCGTTTTTAATTTTTTTTTTCATCTGAAAATATTAGAATACGTATTCTAACCATCCTCAGATCGTAATCTAAACAATAAAAACGTAATATTTAATAAATATTCAGTTTCCTTTTTGAAAGATTCACTTTCTATATTTAGGAATTCTAAAACTTTTCAGAAATTGAAATCTATATTATATTAGAAAACGGATTCTAAAATAATTATACGTTTTCTAACGTTTTTAGAACATGTTATAAATCGTAGAATAGATTTTCTGACTAAAATTAGAACATGAAGAAAAGCGTAGAATACATGTTCTAAGGATTTTTGGAAATTGTATTCCGGTCTTCTGAATTTGTTAGAACATGTATCTAATCTAAAAGTCATAGAACATGTACAAAAATTTAGAATACAAACTCTGATTTTCGTAGAATATGTACAAAAGTTTAGAATATAAATTCTGATATTCGTAGAACGCTAGAAAACATATTCTAATAATTTTAGACGAAACTTTATCCATAAAAAAATCAACTTTTTTCAACTAAATCATCAATATTTTTTTTCAAATCATGTATAATCTTGTATATCAACATGTTTTTTTGGTAAAATCATTCAAAAAATGCTTAAATAGAGAGTAGGGGTATTTTAGTCCAAAGTGACATTCTAAAAAAAAAATGTATATGGTCAAACTTTTTTTTAGAGCTCCTTTATTTCTAATTTTCCCTTAAAACTAAATGGACAAGACAACAATATCAAAACAATTTATGGAATTTTATGTTTAATTGGCACTTTAATGCAAGATTATGTGTTTATCGTAGTTTATTTGGAGATCTTTTCCATAATTTATGTAGAATTATTCTTGATTCTTTGAGTAACCATAATATCATTAGACAATAGTTTTTTTTTTTTTTTGTTACAAACAAAAGGAAAAAAAAAAAAACTAATGATCTCAACGCGTAGTTGTTTTATATTTTGTGGAAGTATTGATGATATATTTTGTGAAGATATGAATAGTTGTTTTAATTTGTCATTGCTTTTGCGTAAGAATTAAAAGGGAAAAATCTTGTTCTTCAAGTTTAAGACATGCAAAAAAAAAAAAAAAAAGGTTTAAGACATGCGTTGTTGTTGGAGCTGTGATGAGTATAGAACAAGTTTAAGATATTTCTTTGAAACCTAATATCTAACCTAATATCTAACGTTTTCGTACCTGGTTTCACTCGAGTTAGGAGCGGCAGATACGGCCTCGCCGATGGTTGTGTAGTTGCTGGTACCATTTTGAGCCACCACGAGATTAACCTTAGTCTCATCCACCGGATCTTGAAGTAGGTTCCGGTCACTCCCTGAGACCCACATCGGAAACCCAACGTCCTCCTCTAGTTTCCCCGGAATATTCCCTGGAATTTCCTCAAGCATAGCTAACGAGTCGCTGACGTGGCTAGAGATATTGAAAAGACTCTCTTTCAAGCTCTCAGCCACTCCATACGTCTTATTATTATTATTCTCGTCGTTGTTGCTAGAAGCAAAACCATCGAGACATGTTCTTGTATTCGTCATCGCGGCGCTGAGAAACATTTTGACGTTATGGAGCTCCGGAGAATGAGACCGAAGCTCAGATACTGCGGTGGTGAGATCAAAGACGGTGTCATCGAGTAGCTCGAGGCAGTCATCGAATGCGCAGCGATCGCGATGGCTTAGGTTAGAGCCTAGACGGTTTAGGAGGTCGGAGAAGTTTGAAGAAGAGAGATTGACCTTTGAGATGGTTTGGTTTAATGAGGCGATGACGAGCTCAGCGATGTCATCAGAGGAAGTAAAACGCTGCGTTTTATAAGATGAAAAGACGGTGGCTAAGAAAAGTAGGAGAAAGGTCAAACTGAGAATAATGTGTTTTTGTTATGAATCTCGTGATTCTTATTGATTAATGAATGAGGTTACAACTTATATATATACACAATAGGGGAGACAAATCCCACTTGGACTAGGAAACACTAAAGCCCACTAAGCCTAAGACTAAACCGCCTCTATGGATGCCCCAATTGCCTTGGTCGCTTATAACCTTGGGCCGACTATGGACGGGCCTTCTAGAAGTGTGTCATGGACCTTCTAGAACGTGGTCAAGGCCCACGGTTATGAAGTCCATCCGAACATGGTTTATAACACTCCCCCTTGGATGACATAACCGTGTAGATGCCAAAGGATCTCAGTAATGCGCTTGGGGGATGCTGCCTCATTAAAACCTTACTAGGAAAACCCATTTGGGACAAAACCATAGTTAAGGAAAAAGAGTATAGCACGCATTACTCCCCCTGATTTGGTCATCCCTGTAAGTCCTTAAGTCTCCGCATTCCAATTTGACGCGTGAGCTTCCTTAGCGTCGATGTTGGTAATGCCTTTGTGAAGAGGTCGGCTGAGTTGTCACTTGACCGAACTTGTATCACTCGAACTTCTCCATCCCTTTGCAAGTCATGCGTGAAGAAGAACTTTGGTAGAATGTGCTTTGTCCGATCTCCCGTGATGTAGCCGTCCTTGAGCTGAGTGATACAGGCTGTGTTGTCTCCTCATATGATGGTCTTTGATATTGTAGTAGCTGCGCCTTGAAGAAGGCTGCCTACGTACCCTTGGAAAGGATCAAGCCACACGTAGTTCCTATTTATTGACCATGCCATAATCTGATCTTACCTGCATTAGCAAACTAAACCAAAGAAAACTAGACCTTCTTTGGTTAGATCAGTATAGAATAAAACCCAAATAAACAAACATAGGAAGAATAGACTTTAAAATTTAACCAAACCTTCCTTCAAACCTTTCTAGTGCCTTTGGGTTGATCATGAACTAAATTTAGACAAAGGAGGTTCACGGCAAAACATATGTCTGGTCTAGTGTGGCTAGCCAAGTACATTAACGCTCCTATGGCACTGAGGTATGGCACTTCAGGATCGAGAACTTCTTCCTCGTCCTTCTTTGGACCGAATGGATCACTATCCAATCCGAGGCTTCTCACCACCATTGGGCCTGGTCAATGGGCGGGCCTGGTCCTTATTAAATATCCTTGAGTACTTTTTAGTATATGCCTTTTGATGCACAAGGATTCCATTATTCATGTACTCAGGTTGTAATCTCAAACAGAACTTAATTATTGCCTAGGTCTTTCTTTTAGATATACTCAACTGTTTGGTCGATTTCCCAAAGGTTTAAATTATTCATATACACTGCTATGATTACAAATCCTTTGTTTGCAAACCTCTTTATGAAAATACATGGACTAATGGGATCATTTATAACATTCCATACGCCCATTTGGTCTAAGTCCATGAAAGGATTTGTCCAGCCTTATGCAGTGATATTCTCGAGAATCTTTCTTATCTTTGAGCTCAATACCCTATAGTATTCTCATATATATTATCCAGTGGACTTATATAAATATGCAGGTATTACATCCATTAGCCGCAAATCAAATCTTTTCTTTATATAGGCAGACTTAGCAAAATTTAAATGTCTTAGCATCCACCACAGGGGAGTATGTTTCTTCATAATCTATCCTCGGTCTTTGTGAGAATCCTTGTGCTATAAGCCGTGCCTTATATCTCACGCTTTATTATTCTCATTTCTTTTCCTCACAAAGACCCACTTGTGTCCTACTGGTTTTATCTTGGATGGTGTCCTTAAGGTCGGACCAAACACATCCCTTTTCTTTAATGATTCTTAGCTCCACGTTTTATGGTCTTGTACCATTTTAATCAATCATTTCTTTGAGTGCACTCTAGTATAGACGTGGGCTCCAGATCCTCATTTATATTCATAAATTCAAGTGCTACCTTGTATGTAAATAAATCATCTTATGTCGACATTCCTTATGGGTTCCATTATGTTCCAGACATGATATAATAGATTTAGATTAATTATTATCAGGACCTTTAACACTTTGCAGCTTGGCGTCCCAAGCTACATTGTTTGGTACCTGTACCTTAGAGCCGGCCGGCCTTATCTTCATGTCTGGGATGGTTTCCTTAGTAACCTCGGATTCCTATTGCACCTTTCTTTAATTTCCGAGGGTTTTTATCATTGGAACTTATTGGTCTACTACGTTTCTTACGTTGTCTAGACTCTGTAGCAACTTGATTGTGTTCCTTGTGAACATCAATACGTACTGGTGCATTACAAGCTGGTATGTACGCTTTTATAACTCTCTTTGGGTCATCAAAGGAATCTGGCAATTCATTAGCTAGCTTTTGCAAATTTATTATCTTATGGACCTCTGAGTCACACATCAGAGTCCGAGGATCTTGCCAATTTAAGGATGTTTGATTCCATGATATTTCTTTGACCAACTTGTTCGTCTCTCCACCTATAGTAGGAAATTCGGATTCATTAAAATGACAATCCGCGTATCTAGCCTTAAATAGATCACCCGTAGTTGGCTCTAGATACTTAATAATGGTGGGAGAATCAAATCCAACATATATTCCCATCCTCCTTTGAGGTCCCATCTTTGTTCTATGTGGTGGTGCAATCGGTACATATACGGCACACCCGAATGTCTTTAGATGGGATATGTCTGGCTCATGACCCATTAATAATTGGGATGGTGAATATTTATGTTCACTAGATGGTCTTATGCGTATAAGCTCTGATGCATGTAAAACAGCATGTCCCCAAGCGGCTACTGGAAGCTTCGACCTCATGAGTAATGGTCGAGCTGTCAATTAAATTCGTTTAATGAAGGATTCCGCTAATCCGTTCTAAGTATGTACATGTGCCACGGGATGTTCCATACTTACCCCCATGGACATACAGTAGTCATTAAACGCTTGGGACGTGAATTCACCGGCATTATCTAGACGTATAGTCTTAAGCGGAAAGTCTGGAAAGTGGGCTCGCAGTCTTATTATCTGGGCCAATAACCTAGCAAACGCTTGGTTTCTAGTAGATAGGAGACAAACATGCGACCATCTTGTCGATGCGTCAATGAGGACCATAAAATATCTAAACTTCTACATGGTGGGTGTATTGGTCCACATATGTCTCCTTGTATTCTTTCCAGAAAGTTTAATGTCTCTTTATTTATCTTTGCCAGCTTTGCCGGTGATGGCCTTATAATGAGTTTTCCTTGTGAACATGCTTCACACGTGAGATTCTTAGGGATAACTCTTTTCTCTTTTAGGGTGTGCCCCTTTAAATTTATCATAAGCTTACGCATCATACTATGACCCGGATGGCCAAGCCGGTCATGCCATAAAGTGAACTTTTCGTTGGACTCTTTCATTGCCATATTAGCTTCGATTATATTGATTTTAGCATAGTAGAGACCAGTGGATAATGCGGGTATAGTCTCTAGGACTTTCTTATGTCCTTTGGTGATCTCAATTATATTTAGGAATTATTTGTTCCCTTCACCCTTTGTTTCAATATGGAAACCATTCAATCTTATTTCTTTGAAACTCAATAAGCTCCTCTTTGAGCTGGGTGAATATAAGGCATCGCTTAGTTCAAGATGCGTGCCATTTGGTAATAGAATATGGGCTTGGCCGTAGCCCTCAATAAGATTTGCTATACCCGCTATAGTGCTAATATTGGCATTTTTCATTATGAGATTTAGGAAAATATCTTTTATCTTTTGTGTGGCTCCACTATCCACCACAAATATGTTCTTGTCCTCGGCCATTTCTTATATGGACAAGAATCATGTTTTAAACATAAAATAATATAAAATAAATTCAAGGAAATAACAATCAATGAAAACATAAAATGCAAAGAAAACATAGAGGTTTTGATGTCGAACTCAGATTTATCAACTTGATTCTTTTAGGCAATCAGAAGTCTCATACTCTATTAGATCATATTGATCATGTTCACCATCTTTATATACCAAATGGGTTTGGAGGGGTTATTGGTTTATGGATTTATAAGGAATTAGAAATCCAAACAAAAATTATTTGTTATTCAATCATTGATTTTAAAATCCTAATTAAATTCATGTCTTATTGGTTCTATGATTTATAAATACTAGTTCAAATCATATGTTATTCAATTAGTCATTTGTTTTTGGATTTGAGAATCCAAATTATGTTTTAAATGGATTTGAATGGAATTGAAAGAGAAAAAATAGAAAGATTCAAATCCATGGGTAAACACATGTTATTTCAAAATTCATATATCTTGATTTCATAATTAATAGAAATTTTCAAATTCTATATGGATTTACAAATTAATAAACCAATAACACCCCCTTAGGTTTTCCTGCTTTCTTTAGGATTTAGCTTTTCCTATTTAGAATAGGATTTAGGGTTTTTCAGATTTCCTATTTTAATTAGGATTTTAGGGTTTTCCTATTTTCTTTAGGATTTAGGTTTTTAAGATTTCCTATTTTAATTAGGATTTTAGGGTTTAGGGTTTTACTATTTTCTTTAGGATTATCTTTTCTAAGATTTCTAGGGTTCATGCGATTTTAGTTTTAGGGTTTCTAACAACTTATGCATGTAATCAATCAAAGAAACAATCAAACTAAAAACGCCCTAAGCAAGTAATTTGTGTAACCCATGTAATTTGCGTAACCCATGTAATTTGCGTAACCCATGTAATTTGCGTAACCTCAACCAAACGTGATTTAGAATTTAGGGTTTTGATCCGATTAGAGTGTTTTTCAATTTAGGGTTTATGTCTTTTAGGGTTTCGGATTCTAGGTTAAGATGTTTTCGATTTGCGAGTTTAGGATAAGCAATAACAAGCTTTCTAGCAACCTAAACAAGTCAAGCAATCGAGCAAACAAACAATCGGACCAAGCAATCAAATCGCAAACACTTATCAACATTCGTTTTAGGGTTTTAGTTGTTTGTTAGGTCCAAATTCGATTAGGGTTCTTTAGCTTTAGGGTTTGTCAAGTTACCTTTCTCCTTTGGGGTTGTACGGATTGGAACCGGGAGCTAAAGACCTCGGTTATCAAGCTTTTCACGAACGTACGAACCTTGTAAGAGATCGCCGAGCAAGGAGCAAGCAAACGGCCGGCGGACGAGCTTTAATGGAGCGGCGGAGATCGGCGGCTTTTAGGGTTTTGTTAAGAGCAAGTCGTGCTGATAACGTGTTATGAATCTCGTGATTCTTATTGATTAATGAATGAGGTTACAACTTATATATATACACAATAGGGGAGACAAATCCCACTTGGACTAGGAAACACTAAAGCCCACTAAGCCTAAGACTAAACCGCCTCTATGGATGCCCCAATTGCCTTGGTCGCTTATAACCTTGGGCCGACTATGGACGGGCCTTCTAGAAGTGTGTCATGGACCTTCTAGAACGTGGTCAAGGCCCACGGTTATGGAGTCCATCCGAACATGGTTTATAACAGTTTTGACTTTTTCGTCATTGGATTATAACAATTTTAAGAGAGAAGCTGAATGAAACAAGAACTTATAGAATAAATTCCCAACGGTAACCATAGAACAAAAAAGAGTGACATAGAAGTAATTTACAGAATATCTAGTGATCTGTATATGGAAAGAAATATGATGATATCAGTCAGATTTCAAATTTTGTTGAACGTAACAGGAAAGAAAAATCCTTTGGTTTTTTACTGTTTGGATCTCAAAGTTTAGAAAATTTGTTGCCTAATTGAAGAACTGACTACTGGTGTTGGGTTTCAATCCACGGAACTTGGCCCATTAACATGTGAAGACCTAGTAAGTCTAAAGAAACTATCGGATTTCGGCCCAGAAGTGAAGATTCAAATCGACTAAATGCCAAACTCGTCAAAGTTAAAGCCCAATCACAATCTCCAACAAGAACGCCGCCGCAAATCTTTTCGACGGACGACCTATTGTACGAAATCATCGGAAGAATCCTCAAATGGAGATTCCGCTTCTTCGCAAAAGTTTCCAAGAAATTTCACGACGTAGTCAGGGCCTGTCCAACAAAAATGGTGGTCCAAAGTGGAGGAAAAAATGTGGCTTTTTTTTTAAATAATTTATAGTAAAACAAAAAAAAATAATCAAAGTAAAACTTTAAAAGAAAAAAACAATAAAACTAAGAAGCAAATAAATCCTTAAAAAAACCAGAGAATTTTTTAGCCTACGCATTGTTTAGTTTTTTTTTTTTTGTTTTTATGTGAATCTAATTGAATTTCTTTTCCATTTTTGTTTAGGTTTAAAATTTTAATTTATTTTAAAAACAAATACAAAACGTTAATAAATAAAAAATAAAAAGGAACGCGGCATATAATAAAAGCAGTGGCGGAGCCAGAAAATATATTCATCGGGGTCAAAATATTTTTTTTCTCTAAAAAATGTATAAAAAATAGCTTCATAAGTCGATATACTAAAAGATGTGATAAATGTTTTTTTGTCTCCACCATCACACGATCGAAGATTGATTAAAAACACAAAGAAGAAAAAAGAAGAAGGTAAAACGTTTTTAGATCAGCTCAAAATAAATGTTAAAATATTATATTAGTTTATATTAATGGGTTTAATTGTAATATATTTACTTAAAATAAATTTTATTAGGCTTAATATTATCTATAAGTACAATGTAATTATTGGGTTTGTAACATAATTTTTTTATAGGGATTAATATTTTTATTGGATTGGGGTCAATAATTTATTTTATATAAAAATTCAACTATTTTTTTAAATTCTACGGAGGTCAATTGACCCCTATGAGTCTACACTCCCTCTACCCCTGAATAAAAGAAAAAGAAACGAAAAATCAAAATATGTGGGCAACAAACCATTCTTTTTTTTTTTTTTGTAAAAAAACCATAGATCTCAAATATTATGGAACAAAACCCAATAAACATATCAAAATATGCTGCCTCATAAATTTAGATATTTATAATGATAAATAATACAAAATTTGAGCATGATTATTGGTGGATCTAAAATTAGGAGTCCAAACCTTATTTATAATGATAAATAATACAAAATTTGAAACTTAGACACTTTGAATGTTTTATAATTTTGAGAGAGTCCAATGATAGATCCATAGAGTGAGGATCTAAAAATTTTAAATTTTGAAAAAATGTGTATTAGCTAATTGTGTTGCAAATATATGACTTGACATACACTCTAAAAACTTAAGAGAATATGAACAAGAAGGCAAGGAAATTTTACAGGATCTAATGAGTCTACCTGACTTGCTACACCCACTGGACAATTATTAGTGTGGCAAATACGAGCCATAAGACAACCAGTAGCAATCATTGCCAAGGAACCAAATCCGTATTCATCAGCACCCATAGCTGCAGCCATTAGAACATCAACACCACTCTTTAAGCCTCCATCAACTCTTAAAATGACTCTTTCTCTGAGTCCATTTTCGATAAGAGTCTGCAAAAGAGAATAAAATGAAGTAGAATAACATGAAGTATAAGATACAATAAAATGAAACCAAATGCACAAGAATGTATTAGTCACTGATTGCGAGTGAAGCTCTCTGGTCTTTTAGTGCGTTTCTTGCGGTTGGATCAAGAGTTGTTAAGTAAAAGTATGGTATACCGTTGCCTTTCTCGGGTAAACTATCACTAAACGATACAACATTCCTGCAAAGAGAGACAAGTCTGAAATTTGAAATGTAGAATCACAAAGACCAAGAAAACACATTGTGATATGATTCATGGAAAACAAGATTACCCAAAGGGAGCGCCTTCATGATCAACGGATAGTGTGCTGCAAGAGGAATACAACACCGAAAAAGAATTAATCCACCATTATAACAAGATTGCAACAATTCATAAACACTGACTCTTGCAACAATCTCTTTCACTAATAAGATCTCTGGTAACTATAGTGTATAGAGTGACCAAATGTGTCTCCTTGTGTCAAATCTGAACTCCCAAATCAAATTCAATTTCAAAAGAATCAAACTTGACGAAGTAAACCTATACCAAATCTCAGGAACACAACAATACTTATTGAAGCAATTTCAATAGTATTAAAGCTTGATGAAGCAAATCTCAAGAACCCAACAAAGTTCATCGATACTATCATCAACGATAGGATTCAATCTTGTAAATAGCTACGAACTTTATGTAAGATATATCCATAAATCAATTTCAAAATCAAAAGATTCAATCTTTTATCAATGATTTTGCAGTAAAGAGTGATCGAGTGAACAATTACAAGTCTCGGATCAAAACAGACTGGTAATCGAGTGAACAATTTCAAGCACATAACCAAATCATCTAACTTTATTAGCAAATATTCCAAGAGATATGAAATCATTATACCACTTACTTCAGAGTGAATTTCTTCCTGGCAAATTTGAATCCACAAACGGCGGCAGCAACAATCTCCTTCAATTAACCCCAATTTAGCTTAGAACAAAGAACCCTAAAACCGTCGATTTGCTTCATCAAACTCGCCAATTGACCAGCGTCGGTGGAGATGAATGTCACGCCGGATCAAGGAGTCCGAGCTCAATCTTCGTCCTCCGTTTGCTTCCGATTTCGTCGGACAGATCGCTGGATCGAGGAAGAAAAAAAACGAGATAAAAAAGTTGAGTTTTCACGAAAAAAGAAAAGACGGGAGAAAAAAAAAATCTATCCAATACAAAATACATCCACCAGTAATATTGCGACACGTAGGGATCCAAACACAAGTCTAAAAATCCAATTTTGGATTCGAGTCCATTGTTTTTGGGCCTTTTTGATTTATTTTTTAGATCTAAATAACTTGGACCTCCTGCTTGGATATGCCGTTAATCATGCTCCTGTCCTGACTTAAACCGCCTGTCCTTTGGGCCAGGCCTGGACGTAGTAACATCGTCAGAGCTGCTGGACGTGAGGGAGCTACTGAATAGAGATGATCATCTTTGTATAACTTTTAAGGATGGTGCAAGATTGATTGAATCTAAGGTGCAAAAAAGGATGACGATATCTCCCACAAAAAAATGGAAGAACAAACATTTATTTTTGGGGCACAACTTTAATTCATCAATCAAATTGGCGGTGAAAAATAAGCTTTACATGTTGGCCGGATCTCCATCGATGTGGTATATGTAACTATTTGTTGAGGATGGATAAGAACAATTATTATGGATTGTATTCCATTCAAACACACCATAGAATATTTATATTCTTTGAATTATTTTCAAACTGGTCATTTTATATAATTATTGGACATTGTTTTCTAAAAATTATTACCATGTTCTAAATTTGTCATAAGATTTTACATTAAACATTATTTGCAAGCGATCTCACCTACTAGCATTCATACATCGATTCGAAGGAGAAATCCTAATCGTTTCTAGTCAGAAAAATATCAAACAAGAAACATTTTTTATAAGAAATTGATGTACTTCTTTAAATCAAGGAAAACAATTTGAATCATTTTGGTTTGAATTGCTTTATACGTGAACGAAATTTTATTTTTTCTGAATGTTAGCAAAAACAATATATGTTTCTTCATATGGAATTTCAAAGCTTCCCATAATGCGTACCGTTTGGTCTGTCTATATTTATGTCGGCATACAAGTTGTGACAAGTGAAAAAAGGTAAGAAAATGCATGCCGTTTTTCTCCATAATCATTACATTTTTGGACGTGTCACTTTCTTTTTTGGGCAAAAAGTTTTCACGTTAGACTCAAAGTATGGCGCAATTCTTTTTCATTAACGTTACTTATAGTACTTGTTTTAGAATTACGGGTTAAACTCTATTTACAAAATGAGTTTAGTTATCAATTTGACTTCTAGAACCTGCACATAAGAATCGAATTCAATCCAACCACGTGGAGTTAATTTTGTTTCAGTCTACTTTTTTCGCAGTGAAGTAGTATTAATGCCGTTAGTTGAGAGTATAGTACATAGTATATATCAGGAACCACTAGCGTTTTCTTAGAAACGTTATAACTTAAAAGCAGACTTGGCATTGAGGGTCTGACTGGTTTAAACGCAGCGGTTGCGGTTGCAGTTGCGGGAGTTTGCGGAAGCGGGCGGTTGCGGTTTCAAGCGTTACCAAGCGTTTTGAACGACTGGTTTAGCGTTTGAAAATGGATGCGTTTGCGGAAGTTTTATGACTGGTAAACCAGCGGGTGCGGTAGCAGTTAAATAAAAAATGACTAAAAAAATAAAAAATATTACAAAAAAAAAGAAATAAAAACACCAATATATTATTATGATAATATTAGAAAAATTGAACATGCTTAATAATTAAAACCATAAATAAAGTACTAAATAATTATTCAAAAATAAAAAAATTTTATAATAAGATAGTACTTTATGCTGGGTCGTTAACACCAAAAATTGTATCAAGTAATGGGACAAACTGTAAATAACGTTGAATTCAATCAAAAAGCAAATAATTTTCTATTCGAGAAAACAAATCGAAACATATATTCAATCAAAAAGAAAAGCAATATATAATGAAAGAAAAAAATATTCAAATTGATTTTCATCAGTTTGGGTGGAAGACATTGAGAAAATAAGGTTTTAGAATATTGATTAGGGTTTCTGATGAGAACGTGATACAAAGATGAAAGATATATATAAGATTAATATATTTTATAATAATTATAAGTAAACGTTTGATTTTTTTTTTTTTTTTTTTTTTTTTTTTTTAAATCCAACCGCTACCGCCCGCAACCGCAAACGCTTGCGGGAAGGAGCTTTTGAAATTCAGCGATTTCGAGCGGTTTGAAGCGGTACGGAGCGGTTTCTATGATTGGTACCAACCGCTAACAACCGCAACCGACCGCTAGCAACCGCTAGGAGGGTGCTAGCGGGAGAACCAATCAAGCCCTGAGTTTTTTTTTTTTGTGTAAGGATATATTGTTTTTATTTGATTACTTTGTTTTTTTTTTTTTTTTTTTTTTTTGTCAAAGATTTGATTACTTTGTTAATTCTGACAAAATCTTGAATAAGTAGATTCTTGATTTTGAAATAGTAGATTATTGATTTTGCGTGTGTCTTTTACATGCTATTATATAATGTAAAATATCATGTCATCGGCTAAAAATATATTTAATTAATAAACACAAATTTATATTACTAAAAAAAACACACCTGCAGATTACGATTCTGTCACTGTTTTTTATTGCCAAACAAACCTCTAATCTATCTAAATAATTGACCCTTTTTATTTTTTCTCTTTAAGATCATGTTTAATTCAATAAGTTATACCAATATAAAATCAGCGAAAAGATAAAACAAAACATATATACGAAAAAACGAATATAAAACAATAAAATTGTCGGAAGAAACAAGTACGAAGAACATGAACATGCAACTAAACGAATGTTTGATTATTATCAAGTCTTTGGCTCAGAATCCATCGTTTTCAGACAGTCTGCTATTTTTTTTTTTTTACCGTTTACGCATTTCCGATAGGCGATAGCATGCAATATTCTCCAACCAATACCACAAATAAAAACTATTATATTGAACTAGGTTAAGATACAAACAAAATAATAGCTAGTATTTGATAACCAGTGTAGTAAAAGTGTAAAACAAACTGCAAAATTCTTTACGATTTTAAATGATTAGGATGAATTATTTAGTTTAAATGCAAAATCTTAAGGTGGACCATGACGATTCTTCATGGGTCTTGACTCTTCTTGAGGCTCAATTATTTGTGCGTGTTGACCAAAAAATTGTTCCTGTTGAAACAAAAATTTTCTATACCCTCATCAAATACATTTTTCAAATATGTTGACGAAAATAAAAAAGGGAAAAATGCGTTCCAAATTTATGAGATCTCAGTTCTCTACTAAACAAATAAAAATGTTAGTTCTGTAACTTTACAAAAAGCTGAATTTATTTCTTCTCATATTTTCCTAGGGAAAATTGGAAATAAAGGATATCTACTAAAATTTTTGTCCATATACATTTTTTTGGTGAGATTGTCAGTTTGGACGAAATTACCCCTATATCCTATTTTAAACATTTTTTAAAAAAAATAATCATAAAAATATGTAGATATACCAGAGTAGATGTGATTTGAAGTAAAAAAAAATTAGATTTGGTTAAAAAAAAGTTGATTTAATTAAAGATAAAGTTTTGTCTAATTTTGTTAGAACACGTTTTCTAGAGTTCTGCGAAACTTAGAGTGTATATTCTGCATTTTTGTACTTGTTCTACATATTTTAGATTAGATTTCTGTTCTGAAAATTTTAGAAATCCGAAAATCATATATCTATATTTAGAACATGCATTCTACGTTTTTCTCTATGTTCTAAATATTTTTGAATAGCCGTTCTAATAATTTTTACATCTTCTGCCATCGTTAGAAATTGTAATCTTCGTTTAGAATGTAAATTCTACGGAATTGTAGATTTCGTTTTCTATAATTTTTAGAATGTTCTAAATATAGAAATTAAATCTTCAGAAAAGGAAACAAAATATTTGTTTTAGATTACGATTTAAATAGATATTTATTGTTTAGATTACGATCTAAAAAATGTAGATGTTGTTGTCTACGGTTTTTTAGAAAAATATAAAAAACCTAAAACGTTTTCTAAACCCTTAGAGCTAAGAGTTTCAAATCAAATTACTGAAGTTTACTTCAGGGTACTAAAGATGAAACCAAACTCGAAATTCATCCCCAGTGACTACTCTTTCAAACCAAAATAATAGAAAAAAATATTTAAACAGTTCAAGAAGGATCACAAAAGAATTCTAATTTCATAAACTTTGGTCTGATTTCATGTTAAGAAAATGAGCCACGATATAAAGAGGAGGTTCAATTAAAAACAAGAAAAAGTACAAACACACACAAGAATTAGGGAAACACAAAAAAAGTCTTCAACATGCAGAAACAAATTTGAATAAAGATTGAAACATGAATTAAGACATAAAAGATATTTCCAATGACGTAGATGAAGAAGATTTACAAGAGACAAAACCTATAACTAAACAAAAATAAACAAGACACGTATATGAGCTACTCATGACACACATACACACAAAAATAGTGAACTAAATAGATCAATAAGAGATATGGGAAACAATTTACACATGCACCAATTGAGACATATCTGAGAATTTCTAAATCAAACAGAAAGTGAGACAGAGTTTAATCTAGAGTTTGCATTGGTAAAAATATTTCTAAAACACGTCAGATGCAATGAAAAAAAGAATGGGAAAAAGTCTTTTATTAGGTCTTATGAAAGACTCTTATTCATTTGGAAGTTTTGTGATTTTTCTATTTCTATTTTAATTTTGTAAAATCAATTATGAAGTTTAATTATGAAGTGAGGGTAAAGTTGGGTTTTGATTTTTAAAAAACCTATTTGACCAATCTACAAAAAAAAATGGGATATATGGACAAATTTTTAAGTAGATAAGTATGTGTAGTAAAGATTCAAACACAAAAATGATTTATGGTAATCCAGTATATTCATAACTAGGTATTAACCCCCGCTACGCGGGGGTTTATATTTATCGATTGTTTTAATAAATTTTTGGGGTTAGTAATCATTTAAGTAGCTGAATAGAATCAAACCAGAACCGATCAGATGACCGAACGCCCTTGACTACTCTCGATTGTATACCATGTTTTTGTATTTTTTTTTAACATACATCTTGATTGATCATTCTATTCAAATTTAGTGAGACGAATATGAATTTTTTTCTTTATTGATCACAGTAATAAAATATTTACTTTCCTTGCTTCAATTTATTGTCATTCTTTGAATTTTATAAACATTTTCTTCTAAATAGCAAACCTAATCAAGTCCAACCAAACTAAGCCAAACCAAATT